TCTTCCTTCGAAAGGTTCTCCTTCGTGGAAGCTACCTCGCCTCGAAGGTCTTTGACTGTGTTCTGGGCTAGGTCTAGGTCAGACTTGAGAAGCGAGACATCGCCTTCAACATCTTGAATCTTGGCTAGAACATCGGCGGATCTACTAGTAACGCTTTCAATCAGGTCACTGAGATCCTTTGGCACGCTGTCTTGTGGAGATAGTATACTATGAAGCTCTCTCAGCGTCCTAAGCTGAGTTTCTCCAGCTTCATCAGCAAGCTCAAGCTTCTTTGTTAGTGTCTTCGTCTCTTCTTGAGCGGCAAGTAGCTGCTTTTCAAGTATATCAACTCGTTCTCTCTGTAAACGAGACTCGTTCCGCAAGAAATCGACTTGGCCTTGAGTTTTGAGGAACTCGTCACCTCGGTCCTTGGTCACTTTCTCGAGCTCTTCCTCAAGGAAATGCACGCGCTCGTCGTAGTTGGCTTTTTCGTTCTCTCTAGACTCGCCGAAGTGCTCAATTTCCTCCTCAGTGTCTTCGAGACGAGCTTGAAGCCGCTTGATCTCATTCTCAAGTGACTTTCTTTCTTCGTTAAACTCGTTCTTGAGGGCTTCCATGTTCTCCAAGAGATCATTCTTTGTTGACTTCACCTCCTCTATCTGGCCCTTGATGTCATTGTGTTGGGTGGTCCGAGTAGTCAGATCCTTCTCGAAAATAGCGGAGCGTTCTTTCTCAGCATGGAGCTCGCCCTCGAGCTTGTGGATGCGATGCAGAAGCCCCTCGGTACCATCAGAGGATCGTCGACGATCATCAGAAGTGCGCGGGGACTTCACAGAAATGGTAGAATCGTTCCTCTCTGATAGCTGCTGGCTGGAAGGCTGGAACAGATTGCCCAAGCTAGGACGAGATGCCTGGCCTTGCCGATGAAGAAGGTCTTCGAGCCGGCGGACGCGGCTCTCAGCAGTTCTTAGCTTGCTTTCAAGCTTGATTTTCTCATCCTGAACAGTTCGGAGAACGTCGTCATCGCCCCGAATGAGAAGACCACTCCTTCCTAGGGCTGCTTCATGAACGCTGCCATTCTTGAATGCCTTCAGTCGTTTTGATTGTTGCTTGGTCGGCGAGCTCAGTTCGGATATCAGTTTTCCGATGTCGTCGATAAGCTCCTGCTCGGCCCTCTGATGTTGCAATAGCGTATAGAAGTCCTCAAGGTCCTTCTTGGACATTGTAGGCCATTCCTCTTCTTCGCCTTGCAGATTCACCTCCAGCCCAGGCACAGTGCTGTCAGGGGCCGGCTCCTCGGGCCCGTACGCATTACCGACTGTTTTCTGCCATTTCCGCCGTCTTTTGATCTCTTCATCTTGAAATAGTGCCATCTCATTCGCCAGAGTCGTGGAGTCAGTCCTGACTTTGTCGAACCACTCTTTCCGCTTCACGGCTTCAACAACGAAAGAAGCATACATGTATGGTACCTGCTGGATCAATCTAAGATAATCAAAGGTCGCTAGGTCTTCTTCCTGATTGACAACGTTGATTTGAGTTTTGACGTTGGTGCTCAAGGTTGTGATTTCTGTAATCGTCCGCATAAAGTCTACCGACTCGACGGCAAGGGCATTGCGAGATTGCGTAGCGTATTGCAACATCTCATCCATCTCAAGAGCTCGATTGCGTATGCTGGGTAGTAGACGTTCGGTGTGGTTTGCTGCTACCTTGGAAGCCTGGAGAACATCACGGGTCGAATTGGAGTACTCGAGGGTTGTCTGATAGTCCGTGTCGATCTTCTTGGCTACAGCTTCAATGTCCTGGAGCAGCTGAAAAGCTTCACCATCGTGCGACATGGCAGATCGGGCCACCGTACGCTCAAACTCCCTCGTCAGATCCTGGCAGCCTTGAAACATGCGTGTGGCGGCTTTGTCGAGGTCCGCCACTCGCGTGTTGAACTTGCGCAGTGCTCCTGGAGCGAGACGGCCGGCCTTCTTCGCAGTCTCTAGCTCCACCAGGTCCTCCAGAGTCGCCTGGCGAGAAGGTCTCCCCTTGACGTTGACACTGCGTCCCGTCATGAATTTCACCATATCTGCGGATATGGGGATGCTCCGCGCGAGGCTTAGGTAGTTCTCCCAACCTGTGGCTAGGGCGTTGTAGTCTTCTAGTGCCGGGCCAACCCACTTCTTCACCTCCTCATATTTGGGCTCCAAGCCCTTCACAACGGCCTCCAAGTTGGCGACGGCGGCATCCAGGCAGCGCATCATGACATCCATCTCACCATAGCGCTCTTGCGAGGCCTGGGCCATCAGCGACGAGTCTTCCACCACTCGCAAAGCCCAAGCCCGCCGGGTCTTGAAGAGCTCCTGCCATGACTGCAGTGACCGTGTGTCGTCGATGGAATTCGGAGGGTTTGAGATACTGTACCGCTTCGGCATGCCGATCTCGACGTTAATCGCTGATGAGGTTCCCGGCGATGTAGGCTGGATAACGCGCATGTCATAGACATAGACCTCCTTCTGTTCGCACCATGGTTTGTCAGCACACAGCTATTTAAGCGTCTCTAGATATGTTAAAGCCAACGAACCTCCGTCTGGATTGTCTGCAGCTTGAGGGGCTTCCCCTGCGGCGTGAGCGCAATGATACACTGCACAGGGATCGAGCTCTGGCGGGAAACCGAGGCTTTGAAGTCATCGAGTCTGGGACGGGTGATTAGCAGTGCGATCCCAGGCGCCCACATGGCGGACTGAAATCATGGCGAACGGGACAAGCACATACGAGCTGAACTGCGATGTGTCTATCTGGAGGCGTTGGCCCGTGTGGGCTATCAACACCTGTGTCGCCATCGTGATACATCGCCCCTCTCAGTCCGACGGCAAAGACGGGAAGAGATATGTGACTTGTTACAGGTAGTCGAGGTATCCAAACAAAAGGATGCGAGGGTTCGAAAGTTAAGGCTAAGTCACAGGCGGCAGCGGCTCGAAAGAAAGAAGTCGACTCTTAGGATCCTACCGGTGGCAGGCAAACCCGTTGTCGAACCGCAATCGCCGTATCTGCTATGGACAGGCATTCGGTGTGTGCGGTGGTGCGTGACTGCTCAGTGGGCGAGCTTCCAGCGAGCATGGGCATCAGCTGCAAGGCTCACAGGGTATCATTGACTGCTGCCTCGTGACGCACGGCTGTCTCATTGGGCAGATTTGACAAGCGGATCAAGGAGATGCACTAGCCACACTTTCCGGAGTTGACCTTAGTGCACGCCACAATGCGGCAAGCCTCATTCATGAACGCGGTCTTCCAGGAAGTCGCGATCTGGTGGACAGAGATGTATTGGCTGTAAAACGAAGTTATGAACCGAGATTGAGCATCAGGCTACGGACTATCATCGCGTCTCTTCTGCTACTCAGCCCTGTGAATTTATGAAAGATTTTGTCTTGCGACTGCTACCATGGACACAGACACCACGATGCCGGACGCTGGCGCGACTTCAGCCCAAGAAGATGGACCGTTGCTCCTATCTAATACCGAGAAGCGAGTCCTGGAGCTTTACGATCAACTTCGCGATTTACAACTTCAGATTGCCTTGATGAAGGCACAGCAGGATTACGACGGTAAGTTTGAGTGGTACGAGCGTGCCTCAGAATCTAATCAGAATCCAGAACCCCAGCATGAAGTCTCAGAAGACGATGTCAAGCAAGCGCAGGATGAGCTGCTTGAGTCCAGCGCAAACTACAACTTGCGCAATGGCGTCTTGGACAGTGTGATGATCGCCAATCCCATTCTCAAGGCGGTTCATAACAGCACGCATGCTTCTCCGATCGACCGGTAAGCGACCATTATACACACATGCTCTGCTAGCAGAGAATCTAATTATTCTCTAGCGATCTTCTCCCCCTAGTCGAGGAGCGTGACTTGGCTTCTGTATCAGTCGCTCAGCTGTCCACAGAACTGCGAGGAGTGCTGGATCGAATCACGGAAGTTGAAAGTGAAAGTCTGCGTGTCAGCCGCAAGAACGTCGAGTTGGCATCAGAGGTGCTTCGGCTGGCCGAGGAAGCAAATCGAGAAAAGGAGGACGCCATCGAGGATCAGCACGCAAAAGCAGAGATCGAGCGTCTGGAGCGGGAGCTCAAGGTGAGCCGGCAACGGTGGAAGGTCATGAAGGGAACCGCGAGTGCTGTAATTGCGGGCAGCGGCGTCGACTGGGCGAGCGATGCTGAGCTGCGAGAGATGGTCTTGGATCCCGAGTAACGGTGCCTGAAAATCGGCGTAAACGACTGTATTCGTCGGTCAATTTGGACTCTCAAGATGTCTTTTCCAGGTGCCTTTGGAGGCGTACTCGAAGGATTCGCCGGCTGCGAAGCATCCTACTACGACGGCTCTGGGAACTTGTCGTATAAGGGTACATCACGAGTCAAAGGACACACATGGGGTTTTTGGAAAGCCGTTCTATCGAGCCCGACGCTGCATATGCTGGCCCTGTGGGGCCTTACACGATACTCATGCCTTCGGGATACTGAGTGATTGGAGAAGCTGCCCACTGGAAATAGCTTGGTTTACAAAGAGAGCCGCTTCGTACCAGTTCACTATCTCGCAGCGACTCCGTCCAAGACAACTACAACGGAGGTTATCGCTCTCTGGCTACACACTTAAGATAGCCGACGCAGGTACAGGAAGGTTGGTTTAGATAGGGCGTTTCAAGTACCGCCGCCTTGGTCGCGTCCGTACGTGCCAAATGCCAATTTGCAATTGGTCCCGAAAATAAGATGCCTTTTGGCTCATTGGCATCATCGAGGCACACATGGAACACGCTAAGAAGGGAGCTCTGACCACCGATGCGTCGCCGTCTCTGAAGTACACGTGATATGCCCTGGCTGTTAAAGCTCGGATGTGCGTACAGACGGACCCGAAACAGATCCAAAAAAAAATAAAAAATTTGAGCATTTCAAAATGCCCATTTGATCATGTGTGCGTTATCTCAAATTTACGTACGAAGTGGCTTAGTAGGTTTCCTTGCGTCTCCCGGACGGACATAGACATGACATCGTTATCTCGATCGCGTCATGGTGTGGACCCAAGCTGTCGAGAGCTTGCGACTTTTGCCGTGCTATTTCGGCCATGTGTGGAGTCAGGCGAGACGGAGCTCTGCTGCATCAGGCGAGCACGCGCACAGTGCAAAAACACGATTGATCACACGTTATAGTCTACATTGGGCAATATGCCGTACTGGCTCGCTCCCATGCGTTTGCTTCGCGTATCACCAGGTAGGTGTGAGATGGGCTCCATGCCAAACGCAGCATGGAAATCATCGCAAGCCTGGTCAGTCTGAGACTGTGCAGGTACTGTAGTATTGGCCGACACAGAGAGGCGGTAAGATAAGTCTGCATCGAAGGAGCTGGGCAGAGACTTGTCGTGCAGGTGCCTGCATGCAAACAGAGTGGTAGAGAGGAGAGCTGTGCCCAGACCAAAGGCTTCAGCCTCTCCAGCTGCTGTCAGCAGTGCTTCCCAGTGGTGACATGGCCATGATGACCCAAGGAGCTATCTTAGAAAGACACGGCCTGTAAGATCCATCCAGCGCATTACCGCCAGCAATGCGTCTCCTGGGTCTGTAGAGTACGCGTCTCGATTGTAAGGGTGAATGATACAGTGAATGATACAGATAGACCCGGGATCGTAGACCGACCCATTTCTCGACTGAAGTAAGGGGGCCGGCTGGTAGGACCAGAACAGAGAGGAAGAGAAAAGCGCAGGCTTGGGACATGCGTCGGTTTTGTGTGACGCTAAGCCGCTGGGTGATTTCGCGGACGAGAGAGGGCCAGAAAAACAAAGCCGATCAGGAAAAAAAAGGACAAGACAGCGTGACTGCAAAAGTAGGTGTACTTTCGCAAAGGTACTTTTGGAAAGGTACCGGTACCAGAAAAATGGCGCATGGGGATACATGACTGGCGTGCATAAATAAAGTACACATCCCGGCTGGCACGGAAGTTTCATTAATGAGTGGGATTATGGGTGGCATTGGGTACGAGTCCCGCCTACCACTCATCGTTGCCAGGTCGTAATATGTCTTGCCTTTGCCTTTGCCTTTGCCTTGCCCTCTAGGAGTTCCGTCTCTCTCCTAGGTAACCTACGGTATATGCAGTGGCAAGCTTGGTATGGCTGCCTTGCCCAGCACTTTCGTGTGTGACGATTGACCTCCTGTGACTACCGGTAGTATGCAGGAGACTCTCTCCTGCCACTAGCATAGCACGAGCTTGATGATGCTCACTCACATCACTTACAGCATTGGTGGCGTTTGGGCCAGGGAAACTTACTGCATAGTACATGGAGCCGAGCTGGTAGATCCCAGGCCCACTTGAGTGAGCAGGGCCAGGCACAGGTCCCGCCGGGTAGCAATATCGCACCACTGGTAATCGAAAAATAGACCCCCGGTGCTGTTTCTGGACTGGGAGCAAATCCAAGCCTTAAAGCGTAACCATGAACGATTGGCTTGTATGTTGAGACAATCATCGAGGCTGCTTCACGCTCCGGGGCAGGGCATCCGTATCCGGAACGCATACTGCATAGTAGAGTGCAAAGTCTTTGTGTGGTGGTAGGTGCTATGTGGTACCGTACTGGTCTTGTAGTAGTAGTGCAGAGGAGAGGTTGAATGAGACCAGCTCGAGCTCTTGATCTAGCCAATGGCAAGGCGGCCAGGGGACCTCTGCGATGATCAATGTACATACACTACTTGTTTTGCAATGAACATTGCAACGAACTTGCAATGGACCAGCACGGATCAGGAGCAGGCTTTCCCCAATCTGTTACGCTTTCCCACTTCACCGTGATCAAGTGTGATCCGGGCCAAAGTTACCAGCAGGGTCGGACGGGGTGTACTGTAGGCAGTACTGCGTGTGGATGTATGGGAGCGGGCCCGATTCAGAGTCAAGTGGTGCAGTATGAGCTTACAGCGCTAAGAGTGAATAGACGAGTACTTGGGGAGGTGGTTTGAGGGAACACCAAGGTGTGCAGCAGGCGT